CTGTGTGGCCCTGGGCAAGTCCCTTAAGCTATGTCTCCCTCAGTTTGCTTATCTGTAAAATGTAAATAATCACAGCACTTATTTCCCAGGGTTGTGAGATTTAAATGAGATAGTATTTGTAAAGTACAGCACAGCTTTCCCTCCCTTAAATCCAATTCACTCGCAAGTCATGGCAACACCTTCCTTATGGTCATGGTCCCTTTTGAGAACAAAGGACAAACAACAACACATGACAGGTACTTCATAAATGCTTATTCTCTTCTCCCCCCACCCCCAAACTGGAAACTATGGGAGTGATCATCAATTGAAGAATGGATGAATAAATTACGGTATAATAATATAATGGGTTACTGTTGTGCCCTGAGAAATAATGAAGGGGTGGTTTCTGAGATTTGGGCAGACTTTTATAGCCTGATGTTTGTTATTGTTATGTTTGTCCTTCGTTCTCGAAGAGGACCATGACATCAGGGAGATGATGACGTGACCAACAAGTGACTTGATTTTGCGTGAGGGAGGGAGGGCTGTGCAGAGTGAAGTGGGCAGAACTAAGAGAAGGCTGCATACAATAACAATATTGTAAAGACAACTTTCAAAGTTTTAACAACTCTGACCAATGCAATGATCAACCATGATTCTAGCAATGCTATCTACCTCCTGACAGACAGCTGATGGACTCAAGAAACAGAGTGACACAGGCATTGTTGGATGTGATTATTTGGGTAATTTGTTTTGATTGACTATGTGTATCTGTTTCAAGGATTTTGTATTTCTTTCTTTCTTGTTTAATTTGAGGGAGAGTTGGATAGAAAAATAATAACAGCTGGCATTTATTTATAGCCATTTATAATGACTCTTTAAGAACTGCAAGGGGCAGGGCAGCTAGGTGGCATAGTGGATAGAGCACCAGCCCTGAAGTGAGGAGGACCTGAGTTCAAAGCCGGCCTCAGACCAAACACTTGACACTTACTAGCTGTGTGACCCTGGGCAAGTCACTTAACCCCAATTGCCTCACCAAAAAAAAAAAAAGAAAGAAAGAAAAAAAGAAAATTCTCTCTACTAGTATGCAGATCAGTCACCTTTTCATGATTTATAGTCTTATAGAGTGGCCTAGGGCACTGAGGTATTATTGACGGACTTGTCTGCAGAGTAACACAGCCAGTATGTTTCAGATGCAGTATTTGAACCTGAATCAAAGAAGGCAGTTTGGCATATGGTGGAAAGAGTTCTGGCATCGGGGTTAGAGAACAGATTCAAATCTTGCCTCTGATGTTTGTTTCCCAGAATCATATAACTTTGGGTCAGATGCTTAATATCTTTAGGTCTCATTTTCTTCATTTAAAAATGAGAATTTGGGGTGGGAGGGGGGACAGGAGGAGGGTTGGGTTGTTTTTTTGTAAAACAAGAGATTTAGAGTAGATGGTGGCCTTCAAGTGATTCCTGATTCTACATTTAGAATCTGTTCATCCAGCATAGCACATTCCCTCTTTTCCTTGTGCATAGACCTTGTCACACTCATGGTGTTAAGGGATTTGGATAATTGGTGGATGAAGGCATTGCCTTGGAGTTAGTTGAACCTGAGTTCAAATCCCACCTCAGACACTTACCAGCTGTGCAATTGTAGACAAATCACCTACCTTCTTTCATTTTTCGTTTTCTCATCTGTAGAAATTGGGAACAGGGGTGGGGTAGGGGTGGGTTCAGTGGTCTCTAAGATCTCTTCCAGTTCTCAATCTTTACGAGCTTATAATTATTCTGGGTAACATTGGAAACCCCTAGAACTCCCAAGAACCTGATTTCCCGAAGTTCTCTCATGTCTCAGTATGGCAACTAGCTTCCATTTTAATAAGGTTTGGTAATTTTGCCTGAGAAGTTTCTCTGTTCTATCAAGATTGTTAAATGAGGACTTAATCCTTTTGACATCCATAATGTGTTTGTATATGAGGTTAAGAGTGCCATGTAGTGGAAAGAATAATCTCTTTGGATTTCAAGAACCTGAATTCAAGTACCAGTTGAGCCACATACTAACTGTGTGTGGCATGCATTTCACTTCTCTGAGATTCCGTTTCCTGATAAGAGGGAATGAATATGTTTGAACTGTCTCTCTCATGGAGTTATTGTGAGCAAGCCACTTTGTAAACCTGAACACGCTAAAAACCATGGGCTATCATATTTACTCATCTCTCTCTCTCTTTCCCTGCCCCACAGGATTCTTACTGTAACAATCTCTGAGCTGATCATTCATTGATAATGGGGAGGAGGGGGATGATGGAATAATGGGTCAGAGAGCAGCCACTCCTAAAAAAAAGTAAGAACGTATATAGAAAGGGAAGAAATGGCACCGAATAACCTCAGGCAGGGGTCCATAGGAACAGGTATGAAAACGAAAAGTAGTTTACTGTTAAAGGGGAAGGGGCCCACATTCTAATTTCAAGTCAGTTTTCTAAGATGACACAATTATTGAAACTGGAGATAACAGTGATCATCTAGTCAATTCTCTCTCTCTCTCTCTCTTCTTTTTTTGGCTAGTCAATGGGGTTAAGTGACTTGCCCAGGGTCACACAGCTAGTAAGTGTTATGTGTCTGATGTCAGATTCAAACTCAGGTCTTCCTGAATCCAGGGCCAGTGCTCTATCCACTGTGCCACCTAGCTGCCCCTAGTCAGCTGTGGAAACTGAGACCTGGAGAAGGAAGTCATTTCCCTATGGTCACAAAGGTAGTGCATAGCTGAGGAGAAATTTAAATTCAGGTCTATCAATAGAATCAATAGGATCATAGACTTAGAATTGGAAAGGACTTTAGCAGCCACAAAGCCTGACTCCTCATTTTACAAATGAAGAAACTGAGGCAAGAGAAGTTGCATGACTTGACCAGGGTCACACAATAAGAGTCTAAGGAGACATCTGAATTCAATTCTTCCTGATTTCAAGTGCAGGGTCTTTTTACTGAAAGAGCATATGCATTTATTTAGTCACGTTGCTGTTGAGTCATGTCTGACTCTTTATAACCCTATTTGGGGTTTTCTTGGCAAAGACACTGAAGTGGTTTGCCATTTCCTTCTCCAGCTCATTTTACAGATGAGGAAACTGAGGCAAACAGGATTAAGTGACTTGCCCAGGGTCATACAACTAGTAAGTATCTGAGGTCAAATTTGAACTCAGGTCTTCCTGGCCCAGAGCTCTACTTACAGCACCACCTAGCTGCCCTATTTAGTCATATACATACTCATTCCCAGATTCAGGAAAGCAGATAGATTCCCACACATCATCAGAAATACACAAGGACAAACATTTCCCAAAGCAGGCAGTCAGCAAGCTACACAGCTGGATAAATGACAGGCAAGAGGAAAATGACGAGGCATAGATAGATTAGGGGTATGTGTATGACAGAAGGAGTGAGTGGGTAGGATAGGGAAAGTGATTAGCAAAGGCTGCAGAGTCTTTCCTATAATCAATCAATAAACAAACATTTATTAAGGGCCTATTAGACTATGAGCTCCTTAAGAGCAGGGACTGTTTTTTACCTTTCTTTATTTATATCACCAGCGCTTGTTCTCATTCATTTGTGTCTAACTCTTCCTGACTCTCTTTTGGGGTTTCCTTGGCAAGGATACTGGAGTCATTTGCCATTTCCTTTTCCAATAGATCAAGGCAAAGAGGTTAAGGGACTTGCCCAGGGTAACATAGCTAGTGAGTGCCTGAGTCCACAACACCTGAACAGAATCTGGCCTCAGATACTCACTAGCTGTGTGACCCTGGGCAAGTCCCTTAACTCTTGTTTGCCTCAGTTTCCTCATTCGTAAAATGAGCTGGAGAAGGAAATGGCAAACCACTCCAGTATCTCTGCCAAGAAGAAACCCCAAAATGGAGTCACAAAGAGTGAGACCCGACTTAAACAACTCAAAGCCTTCCTGACTCAAGGCCCAGCGCTCTATCCTCTGAGCTACCAGCTGCCTCTATGCTTAGTAGCCACTTAATAAATGCTTGCTGAAGTTGAGTCAGGCTCTGTATCAGGCACTGGAGATATAAAGACAAAAACCAAAATGGTCCCTGATCTCAAGAAGCTTACATTTCATAACCTAAAAAAACATGTAGAAAACATATTGAATGTCTCAGTTTGAGTTCCAGGTTCTGCTGTATCATATTGAATATGCTTTTTGTATAGGAACATTTTTTATGCCTATAGTAAACTGGTCAGTGTCTCAAAGGCTATATATGGTAGAGAAGGTGCTCAACTGAAATGGAAGGGGAAGTCCTTTGCTAGGAGCTCCCTGTGTGAATGAAACCTCAGGCCTGGTGCCTATCTCCTGTCCTAGAAGTTACTCCTTATATAGTCATTTGGGGAGAGAGAAGAGGACTGGTGACAAAACATAGCTCTCCTCGTGGGAGAGAGGTGGCAATCTACAGGCGTACAATGAAACATGTGCAGCCAGGTACAGTGTGTTTCTTCTGCTTAACTTTACTTATTACAAAAGAGGGATTGAGGGAGGAGCATAGGGAAAGAACAGCGTTGTTTCTGTGCTTTTCAAAACAACAGTAAAGTTTCAAATAGAAAGGTATGTGTAGCAGGAAAGAAAAGGGGGAGTGGAAGAGAGGGAGGCATTGAAGAAAGAGCTGTTTTCACTCTCAGCAGAGCCTCCACCCAAGAGAGTGACTAGAGAGTTTCTCTTTCTTTGCTTTCTCCCCCCTGCCCCCACCAAAAAAAAGCTGGAGAGAAGGACACATAGCTCAAATAGTTCTGGGTTCCTCTCTTAATTGCACCTGTTCCTCCTAGGCCTTAGCTAACAGAGAAGGAAAAAAAACAGGTTCCTTCAAAACAGAAACTTGATCACATTCTTACCTGGAGGAATTGGGGCCAACCACATCCCTAGCTTTCCACATTCCCTCCCATCCTTTTTTCCCTCCCTTCTCATCTCCACCCAGGCGGCCCAGCCCAGCTGAAGAACAATGCCTTCCACATGCCCTTGGCCTGGAAAGCCCAGCCTGCTAACCCCCAGCGCTCACCTGCTGGGAGCCAGGTAAAAAGGAGGAGAAGAGGTGGAGGCGGCTCCAGGCCCATCATGGCCCCTTTCACTCAGGATCCCCAAGGCACAGCTATTTTCTTCATCTGCTGCAGCCCCAGGAAAGCCTAGTTTTCTTTAGGGCCTTCCAAATGCTCCCTTCCAGGAGGCCGGGCAAACTTCTGCCGTCCTCCCCAGACCAGGAGGCTTCTGGGGTGTCATCTCTACCTGTAAGCACTCCCTCCTCTGCTCACCCTCCCAAACAAAGCAGCTACTGCTTCCTGCTCCGCCCCTTTCTCTCAGGTAAACAGGAAGGCTCTCTTTGGCTCACCAAACAGTAATTTACCTCCCAACTCACCTTGACTGCACTGATCCCCGGAGACCCTCCCCCAACACCTTTACTGTCACCACTCCCCACATTCCAGGGGCGGAAAGACTTTCCAGAAAGAAATTCTATTCCAGAAAAAAATTCTTAATCTGACACCCTCGCCCCCATTTTTTCTCCACTACCACCTCCCTTTCCTTTCTGTCTTTTTCCTAGGACTGAACTCACATGGACCTGATTCTCTGTGGCATTTTTCATTCTTGTTTTCCTATTTTTTCCTCTTAAGCCAAGGCCTTGTGCATGCCATCTTATGACTGAGAATGAACATCTCTTTCACTTTAATGATCAGTAACAAGAAATATAAAAGTAACTGTTAGCTTCAGGATTCTTGAGTTTGAATTAGGACAAGATGATCACTTTTTTTTTTTTAGAGTAAAATAATTTATTTTTGAGGTCAAACTTCTGACAATATTACAGCAAAATCAAGACATTAAAAAAACCCAAAAAGCTAAACTCAATCAAAATTAATAAGCAATTACTATATCATAAATACCATGTTAGCTGTTAAGAATACAAAAAAGCATATTTTATTTTAATTTTTTTTGCTTCTTTCTTCTAGATTGTCCTTCAGTTCTCTATATTTGCATTCTCAATCTATTGTTCTCTCTTTTATTTGATGAGACACATCGGTGCAGATTCCAGTTTTTCTATTTTACCTATCATTTTTGCTGTGCAACCATAAATTCTGCTTCTATAATTCTTATTTCTCTTTTGAATCACTGAGAAACAATGTTGTGATTCCATGTTCTCCTCACATTCTATAGTATTCTCTGTCTAATCAAATGTTGGATCATTTTCTTTTGTTTTCCAGTATTAATTCATGGATGCTTGAACTTGTTTACTAGATCTTGAGGCCATGTTTCCTTTGCTCTCTTTTTATTTTAACATTCATTTATTTTTTTTTCAGTTGCAAATTTTTCCTTCCTTTCAGCCTCTCCCCCCCAATTAAGAAGGCAAGCAATATCATACCCACTATACATGTGAAATCATGCAAAACATTTTTCCATATTAGCCATGTTGCAAAAAAAGCAAGAAAAATAAAGAAAATGAAAAAATATGCTTCAATATGCACTCTTCATCATATTCATCAGCTCTTTCTGGAAGTAAATGGCATTTTTTATCATTTGTCCTCTGGAATTGTCATGGATTATCATATTGATATCAAATTGAAATTGGTTATTATTACAATATTGCTGTTACTGTTCTCCCTTGTTCTGTTCACTTCACTTTATATCAGTTCATATAAGTCTTCCCATATTTTTCTGAAACTATCTCCTTCAGCATTTCTCACAGCACAATAGTATTAAGATGACTACTCTTAAGGTTAAAGCCCTTTCGATGATTCATTGGATTAGAGATCCAGAGATAGAAAAGACCTCGAAGGCTGTCTTGTCCAGCCCTCTCGTTTTACAGTGGAACTTTAGGGACTTATTCTGAAATTAGACTGAGTCACATGTAACTGGAGTGTTGCATATTCAGATGTAACTGGAGAGTTACATATATTTTTATGTTACATAAATAATAAATGTTATATATTGATGCTATGTTGTATAGTTTTTTATGTTATAAAAATGAAAATTCTAAAAACCACCTGAAATCTTATAGAAATAAGGAATGAGGAAACTGAGGCCCAAGGAAGTTATGACTTGATTTAAGTTTCTACAAAAATTATCTAAAGTAGGATTTGAACTCAGATTCTTTGACTCCAGGTCCAGGGCCCTTTCCAGGTTGTGTTGGACTGCCTCCAAACTGATAAATCACATAGCTAAATTTATGCAAATGAGAGCTAATAACTATATAAGGGAATTGTTACAAGTCAATGCTATATTATTAATTACTATGTTGTTGTTCAGTTATTTCAGTTATGTCCTACTCTTTGTGACCCCATTTGGGGTTTTCTTAGCAAAGATACTGGAGTGGTTTGCCATTTCCTTCGCCAGCTCATTTTACAGATGAGGAAATTGAGGCAAACAGAGTGAAGTGATTTGCCCAGGGTCACACGGCTAGTGAGTGTCTGAAGCCAGATTTGAACTCAGGAAGATGAGTCTTCCTGACTCCATATCCAGCATTATATGCAGTATGGTACCTCCTAGCAGCCCACTAATTACTATAGTTATGAGTCATTAACAAAATGATCAAATCTTAAGGAATGAAGTCTAAATCTAAAAACTGCTAGATTTCGAGTCAGAGGATTTAGGCAAGAATCCTAGCTCTTCTATTTGCTACCTAGATAATCTTTGGAAATTCATTTAATCTCTTTGTGACTCAGTTCTTCATTTATACAATGAAGAGAATTGAATTAAATAGCCTCCAAGATCCCTTCCAGCTCTGAATCTAAGATTCTACCATCTTTAGCTGACATTTATGGCCCCACCTTGCATTTTACTCTTTGGGTGACTTTGGACTTAATCTTTATGAGCCTCAGTTTTCTTGTCTATAAACTGGGGTTAACAATCCCTTTAGTAACAATACCACCAACCTCACAGGGCTGTCCTGAGGTTCAAAGGAAGGAGGCAATAGATTTGGTTCAAATCCTACTTTTGCCATGTCTTAACTGTGTGGGCAAGTCACAGCTTCTCTGGGCTTGTTTCCTCAGTTTTAAAATAAGAAAACTAGATTGCCTCTAAGATCTCTTCTTTAAATCTATGTGAAGCATTTTGCAAGCCTTAAAATGTTATATAATTTCAGGGATGAAGATGTAAATTGTTTGAAATTGAAAGCTTACATGTAAATATGTGTTTATGTGTTACCAAGCTTACCAGGGAGCCTTTTTCATTTGAAAATGTATTCTGTTGATTGCCTCTCTTCCAGATGAGAGAAAATAATTTCAGAAAGTCCTCAGCCCAAGCTATTTCTGAAACTCCAGGGCTCAAATGAATGAAGCATGTTTTTCACATCTGGCCTGATCTATACAGCTCTGATTCAGAGTTCAACATTCCACCCATATGTAAGATGTGTAAACACTTGTTCTAACCACACGCTCTCTCTCTCTCTCTCTCTCTCTCTCTCTCTCTCTCTCTCTCACACACACACACACACACACACACACAGAGGCATAGAGCTGTGTGCAAGTTTGCACATCTACATATGTAGGTATATGTGCATGTACAGGTGATTTGTATGGCGAGAACTCTTGGTTATCTGCAGGTTGATTAAATACTTTGTGAAGGCAGTTTCTGTCCCCTTCTTAAGTCCCTGGCTGGCTTTCCCCTTGCCAGAATATTTTTGAGTCATTCTCCCTAAAACTTCTCATAAACCACTGACCTCCCATGTTTGGTATATATTTAGAGACTTGTTCTAAAATTAGTCTGAGTCAGATGTAATTAGGGCGGAGAATCTGTTACAAAAGTAAAAATTCTAAAAATCACCTGAAGTCTTACAAAAATAATAATATTAACTGATGTTTATGAAGCATTTAACATTTTGCAAAGTGCTATATCTTATTTGATCCTCACAACAACTGTGTGCTGTGAATATTATAGATATCACCCCTATTTTATAGATGAGGAAACTGAGGCTCAAGAAGTGAGGTGAATTGCTCAAGGACACACATCTAGAACTGTGAGGGGCAGGATCTGAACCCAAGTCTTCCTGAGTCCATTATGCCATTCTACCTCTCAAATTGTGTTTGTGCTTTTTTTTTTTTGCAGCCAAAAACAAGGTTAATTGAAGATTCGCCATATTAGCTAGACTCTTAAGGAATCTGAGCATCTATGGGCTATTGGCTAGATTCTAAGAATCAGAGCATCTTAATGGAAATCCACCCAATTAAAGGGTAAAAAAAAAAAAAGGGATTAGAGGAAGAGGGGAGACATACGTACCTTCCAGTCCGGGCTGGTGAAGAGCGTGGTATAGGCAGTTTTTCCCGGTCAGGAAACCATATGATGCGGTCTAGAGGTTAGGGGTCCTGGCACCCCAAAATCATGATACCCGGGTCCTGCCCGAAAGAATTCGACCCAAGCCTTCTTGCAGCCAAAAACAAGGTATATTGAAGATTCGCCATATTAGCTAGACTCTCAAGAAATCTGAGCACCTGTGAGCTATTGGCTAGATTCTAAAAATCAGAGCCTCAAATTGTTTTGTTGATTATCAGCTTCTATGCGTTACTCAGGGCAGGTAGGTGGCACAGTGGATAGAGAACGTTGGGTTTGGAGTCAGGAAGACCTGAGTTCAAATTTGGCCTTAGGCATTCACTAGCTGTGTGACTCTGGGAAAGTCACTTCACCCTGTTTGCCTCAGTTTCCTCATCTGTAAAATGAGCTGGAGAAGGAAATGGCACACCACTGTAGTATCTTTGCCAAGAAAACCCAAAGGAGGGGCTTTAAGAGTACTCAGCTGAAACTACTGACAGCAACAACGCATCACTCATTCTACTAACTACCCTATCTCTCCTTCCACTTCATTAAAATGGAAAATTGACAGTTGTCTATATTTAAATCTGTCTACACCTGGAGCTGCAGATGTGCCCAATTTTGCTAAATTTAACCATTTGTGCCTGTAAAGCCAGGGATCAGCGTAGACAGAAACTATTCTACAACCACTGACTGTACCCCTCTTGGCCTATTGAGTCAGCCATAATACATATATGACCATTTAGTGTTGATGGGTATTACTCAATACAATAGACTGTTACCGCTGGAAAAAGAAGTCAGTAATGACAATAGCTGTCAGTTATACGGCTCTTTAGGGTTTGCAAAGTACTTTGCATACAATCTCTCCTTTGAATCTCACGACAACCCCATGAGGTAAGAGATATGGTTATTATTATCCTCATTTTATAGATGGGGAAATCTATCGTCTATAGCACACTGCCTACAACCTCAGGATGTGGGTTACCGATAGTTAATCAATGAATGGTGTCTTA